GCGGCTGCCAGTCGGACCAGAGGCGGCGCAGCATCGGCGCGACGGCGCCGACGACGGCCTCGTCGAGACCATCGCGCTCGACGTCGCCGGCGAAGCCCTTGACGAGGCGCTGGATGCACGGCGAAAACACGTCGAGATCGTCGCCCTCGGAAACGTGGCGGGCGCCGAGCGCCTCGAGCTCGCGGACAATGGCGAGGATCGACGAGAGGCGCTGCACCTCGAGGCGTTCGCGGTCGCGGCGCCGCGTCGACTCGTCGGCCTCGCGCCTGAGCCACTTGCGCCGCTCGTGGATGTTGGCGCCCTCCTTTGCGAGCACCGTGAGCGCCTGTAGGTTGTTGTCGCAGATGAGGCGCAGGTTGTGGCGCAGCTCCGGCAGCTTGGACGTGTCGGCCGTCGGGATGCCCTGATTGGCCAGCGCGGCCGAGAGCGACGCCACCTCGCGGCCCGATGCGTCAAACACCTGCCCGACGGCGGGGTCGGTCGAGGGGATGCCGCCGGCCTCTTCGATGATCTGCTCGTAGGTGCGGTGCTCGACCTTTGGCTTGCGCGGCTTCCTTTCCGCCTTTGTCCACGCCTGGTCGGCCGGTCCCGGGCCCGCCGACGACTTGTCGCGCTTGTTCTTGTCGCGCTCCTGGCGCCTCTGGTGGTGCCTGCGCGCCTTGCGGTCCTCTTCGTCGCTCGAGACGGCTTCGCCGCGGCGGCGCGCCTCCTCCTTTGCCTGCTTGGTCTTTTCCTTGCGGCCGCCAAAGGCGATGCCGGCCCTCTCCGGGCGCAGCTGCACCTCGATGGGGTTGACGATGCCCTCGCCCTGCTTGCCCAGACCACCGCCGGTCCAGCCCATCTTGGCGAGGTAGGCCGAAGGGTCAAACTTGCCGCCAGCGCCCGCGCCAAACTTGATGGTGGTGGCTGGGGTGGTGCGGCCGCTGGATGAGGGGAGGAACGAAGGCTTGTCCTTTTTCTGGAACGCCTTGGAGGGCGGTACAGGGGGTGAGGGGCGTGCCGAGGCAAAGTCGGTGGGCACCCCGGCGTCGGCCATGGTGGAAGGGGCAAAGGTGGGGTAAGCCTGCTTTGCGCCGTCATTGGTGGAGAGCGCGGGCTGCTGTGGCTGAGTTGTGTTGGCGGCGGTGGCTGATGCGGCCGAGACAAAGCTGGGGTATGCGCCAATGCCTGCCCGTGGCGTGCTGGCTGCCGATGGAGTGGGAGGGTCGGCTGGGGTGGATGCTGGTGCGCTGCCGATGCCTGCCCTCGATCCGAGTCCGGGGGTCGAGGTGGACGATGGGGTGCGGTGAGCGTGGCTCGAGCCTATGCCTGGGCGGGACGAGGCAAAGGAGGCAGGCTGGAACTGTCCGGATCGCTTCTCTTGCTTTGCGAGGGCGTCGATCTGGGTTGGGGCGGCTCGCGAGCCTATGCCTGCAAAGAGGGGGCGGCCGGCGAGGTGCTCGTCGTCTGGTGCGGGCTGGCGAGCGATGCGCTCCGACTCGGAGAGGGAGTCATCGTCGTCGTCGTCGTCGTCGTGTATGTGCCCGTGTGCATCGTCTTGTTGGTCATCGTCGTCGTCGTCGTCGTCGTCGTCGCTGGAAGAGTGGGACTGGCTGGCTGTGCTGGGTTGCAAGGGGGCGCCGGTGCTCTTGACGAAAGCCTGGCCGGAGCGATAGTCGATTTTCCTGCCGCGCCGGTCTGTGGCCCTGACGGACCTTCCTGCGCCTCCTTGTGCCTCGTTTTGTTGGTCGGTGTCTGCGAATACGCCGTAGATTGCGTCGTCCTTTGTAAAGTTGCGTTTGCGCTTGCGCGAGAAGGGGTCGGCCGACGAGGAGGGGTCGCCGTGTTCCGCGTCGGATGCTGATGCTGAGGCGTCGGACGAGTCCGGATCGTCGTCGTCGAGGAACTTGTTGCGCCTGCGTCTGGCCATGGTGGCGAGCCGAGCGAGAGCCGAGTCAGAGGGGGGCGATGGTGATGGTGGTGGTGGTGGTGGTGGCGAAGAGGAAAGCTGCCAAGGCGGTTGAAAGGCCTCGACAAATGTGGAGGAAAATTGGCGCCGGGCAGCAGGCAGTCAACCCGCGCAGCCAAAACGACTGACCGACGGCCCGAGCGCACCTTGGCCTCGACTCAGCTGGCAACCCGCTCAGCCCCCTCGCTCCCTCTTGCCACCACCACCACCACCATCACTACCGCCGCTGCTGCCTGGCCTGGCCTCCCGACGACGTCGCATGCCCGCCATGCCACGCCGCCCATACCGCTGCAAGCCACCATGGCCAACCCTGGCCCTCCTCGCAGCCCTCATCACCACCCACGCACACGCCCTCCTCTCCCTCTTTGGCACGCACCAAGACCCCCTGACCCCCGTCCGCGACGCTCTCCAACAGCGCATACGGCAGAAGCACGAGCTCACCGCATGGAACACTGGAAACACGTCCGCCATGGGAAACTGGTCGTTCACCTACGACACAGACGCAATCGCACCCCATGTCTCCAGCCTCCCCATGCCCCTCGACCTCGCAACCCCCGACGGCGCAGCCTACTACCGCAACCTCTCCGGCTTCTACAGGGGCCACTGGGCCGGCTCAAGCCTCGATACACCCGCATCGGCAGCAACGCAGCACAAGCACGAAACCGCAGCTTCACTCCTCGCCACCTCGCCCAACGCATCCCAGGCCCTCATCGACGACCGCGGCCACTTTGACTGGTTCGCGCCAAAGACAAGCAGAGGCCGACTCAACTTCAACCTCAACCAGGAGCACACCCTACCTGGCCTCGTCTCGGTCCTGCGCGGCAGCCTCAGCCTCGAGGCATCGCCCTCGTCTTCCAGCCCTACCTTCAAAACCTCCGAGGTCGACTTTGACCTCCTCGGCCTGCACTTCCTCCCCACCGGCGCACTCTTCCTCCTCGCTTCGCCAGAGGAGCTCGACCGCCCCACCGACATCCGCGACGTCCTCGCCATGATCCCCAAGCACGAGACTTCCATCAACCTTACCGTCACCGCGCTCGAGGCCGACTTCGACCAGCGCATCCAGCGCCTCCAGGACATCATCGACTCGGGCACGTACGATGCATCGTCCGGATCCGACACCCCCTCGCCCGCAACCTCGCACAACTGCTCGCTCCACATCTATGCAAAGCTGCGCCCGGCCGGACGGCAGGATCAGATCGACCTCGTAGAGACCCTCGAGCTCGAGCACGAGCATCCTACGGGCATCTCGACCATCTCGGCCGCGCCCCTCGCCCTCTCGGCCATCGCCTACTCGCCCCAGTGCCAGCTGCTCCTCTCGAGCGACGACATCGACGGCCTGACAAAGGTTCGCCTCTGGCGCAAGGCCGTCACCTACGCCCTCGTCTACTTTGCCGTCCTCGTCGTCCAGGCCCGCCTCCTGGTCCAGCAGATGGAGGCCACCCGCACCCCCAGCGGCCTCGCAAAGGTCAGCTACCGTACATGGGGCCTCCAGAGCATGCTCGACGCCTACATCGGCCTCGCCCACCTCAGCGTCGGCATCGCACTCAACAACGACACCACCGTGCCCCTCCTCGCCTGCGCCTTTATGAGTTGCATGCTCTTTCTCGCGTTTGGCTATCGGTACGCGCTCACCATCTACCGCACACAGGCCCCGGCCGAAGAGGCTCTGGCTCCGGCCCCGGCTCCGGCTCCAACGCAGCAGGCACCTTCTGTTCCGACGGCTCCGGCCGGCGCCAGCGAAGCCGCACCGGCACCAGCATCAGGCAGTCTTTCGCCGAACATCGACCCATCTCCGACAGCGGTGACCGGTGCAGCGACACAGGCGGCGCCCGCCACGAGCTCGGATGACATCGAGACGCGGCGCCGCAGCTTCTTCATCTTCGGCTTCATCGGCGTCCTGTTTCTGTCCATCTTTTTCCCGCTCCTCTTTGCCGAGCTGCTGCTGCCGGTGCTCTACTCGTTCTGGATCCCGCAGATCCGGCGCAACATGCGTCGGGGGACGCGGCGCGCCGTGTCGACGCGGTGCGTGGTGGGCACGACGGCGTGCCGGCTGGTGCTGCCGCTCTACCTGTTCGCGTGTCCGTCCAACGTGCTCTTTACGCGGCCCAACCGGCTCGTGTGGGTCCTGGTCGCCTACGTCGTCGGGCAGATGGTGGTACTGCTCGGGCAGGACTGGTTCGGAGCGCACTGGTTCGTCCCGCTGCGGTGGAGACCAGACGGGTTGGAGAGCAAGTGGGACTGGCATCCCGATATCGCGTCCATCGAGCCGGTCGAGGTGGAGGGTGGGGGAGCGGGGACGAGTCTGGGCGACTGCGCCATCTGCCTGCACCAGATCGTTGCCGACGGCGGCGAGCGAGGGTCGTCGAGGAGGAGCGGTGCGAGGCGAAGACCAAAGGGAGGAGACGGTGCAAGGAGAGGCAAGCGAGGTGCTGGGGCGGGACACGCCTACTCTGCGCTCCCCGACGACGACGAGGAGGAGGAGGACGAGGACGAGGACGAGGAGAGTCTATCGGATCTAGAAGGTGGCGTTAGCAACGCCTTATCGTCGTCGTCGTCGTCGTCCTCGACGTATCCACCGGAAAAGATGGATCTGGCGACGTCGGGAAGAACATCAAGACGACCCGTACGACGACGACGACAACGTTGGTGGGCTGACGGCGGCGGCGGCGGTGGTTTATCCGCCCTGCTGGGTCGGGTGATACGCAACGGTCTGGAAAGGATGGGCGGAACGACGTTGATGGGACGCAGAAAGAGGCGCGAAGTCATGGTCGCACCCGTAAGTCCCGTTCCACTCCTTCCCTCTCGCCTTCCCTTGTCGGGCTTTTGAGAACGACAGGTGGCCTTGCTGCGCGGGACGACTAGACTGACCCCCTCAACAATGGAATGGCACGGGACTTGACCGGACTGGACTGGACTGGACAGTGCAAGCACATTTTCCATACGCCCTGCCTCGAACGCTGGCTCACTATCAAGACGGAATGCCCCAGTTGCCGTCGTCCCCTGCCCCCCGTGTAGGACCCCTAGCTTTGATCCACACGCTTTCGTTTGGTCAGTCAACACGGAAATGCCACACACAGAGAGAGGAGACGAATCCATCAACGACGGCATGTGGTTTCGTTTTGCAACCAGGAACGGTAAAGCACTTCTGCGACCAACTGCTTGCATGCGTGCATGCAGGAGAGAGAAAGAGGGGTGGGGTATAAAGGTCGCGCACCGCTTCCGTGTCCATTCTTGAACGAGGGAAGGTGTTCAAGCCGCGGCAAACGAGACGCTCTTCTTCTTCTTTGCTGGCTTCCCCGTCGATGCCGAGACCGAGGCCGACGACGACGGATCGACGCCGCCGACGGCGGCCTTTTTCTTGAGTTTCCTCGCCTCTTTTCTCGATTTCGACTTTTCGCGCAGCGACGTCTTCAGTGCCGCCTTGATCTCTGCTTTGCTCTGGGGTGGTTGTGGGAGCGGGAGGGGGCAAGAAGGGAGGGGCGAGGAGAGGTGGGTTCGTGAGTTTTCAATTCGACAGCAACGACCGCGAGTAGGCGGATATGCCAGGCCAGCCTGAAAGCTGCGTCGTCCTGGAGAATGGAGAGGGAGGGGCGAGTGGAACGCACCTTTACTCTGCCTGCCGCGCCAACGCGCGACTGGTTATCCCTCTTTCGCCGTTCGATGTCGTCCTTGCGCTGCTGGTCCTCGATGCGCTTGGCCTCGATCTGGAGCTTTTTTTCGCGGTTCGACTGCGCCTTGGCCTCGAGCTTCTCGCTCGTCACGCCCGCGATCGACTGCGTGAGCGACAAAAGGTGCGACAGACCCTGCTCCTCGGGGAACACCTTTTTCTGCTTGCCCCGTCCCGGCGCCGGTGCTCGTCGCTTGGGAAGCTTCGACGACGCCGCAGCCGCAGCCCCCGCCCCCGCCGACGAAGACGAGGCTTGTGCTCTTTTCGGTGTCGGTGCTGGCATGGTTCTCCTCGTGCAGTGTCGGTAGGCGTGTTTGATTGAGATTGCGTGGCTGTATGTGCGTTGGATCCGGCGGTGTTCGAAGCAGGCTGGCGGTGGTGACGGTGGTGGCGAGGAGGGGAGAGGCGAGGCGAAGTGGAGCGCCAGTCCGCCAGCCTGGAAGTTTTTCGGGCTGGGCGGGCTCGAGCGAGCCAAGCAGGTCTGCGAGGCAGGTCGGCCAACTTTTTTGCCCGGGCAGCCGCGCATTCGAAATCCCGACTTCCGGAATCCGACGGCAGTCCTCCCGGCCCAGCCCTGCCCCGCTTTGCAGCCGCTGCCACCTTTCTTCCGACGTCGACGGCGCTCCTCCGATGGAGATCCACTCGCCCTCGTCCCGACGTCGAAGGCAGGCACCAACGATGACGACGACGAGGATGCCGATCCGTGCCTTGGCAGCGCCAAGAGGCGGGCATGCACGGACGGCAGGGCACGGCGACCCTAATGTCTTGCTTGCTTCCCGCCCCTCGGCCTCGGCCTCGGCCTTGGAACGCCTGCCTTATCGAGGCCATGACATGTCTCGTCCATCGGATCGGATCGCTATCCCTCGGGCAACCACGCACCGACGGCGGCAACGACGGCGACGACGACGATCCTAACCTGCCGCAACGAGCAGCCTCTGACGCCCATTGTCGAAACTCTAAACCTCGACTCGCCCTTTGCCTAGCCAAGCCCAGCCCAGCCCCCGCGGGCGAGATCGCCGATGCCGCCTGCTTGCTCCATCGCTACCGGTGCCCTAGTCACTCCACTGCGTCTTGCTCCGTCGACGACGTCGTCGTCGTTCGAGCATCTACAATGGGCATTCACGCTGAACACGCTGGAAGCCACGTCGGCACGTGCTGTCACAGCGCTTCGGTCTGGGCTGTTTGTCCCCTGGTCCTGAGAGAGCGAGCAGAGTACAAGAGAGCCCGTCCCGACCGAGCGAGGAAGCGGTCGGAGCGTCCATCGCGCCCCTCATCACCAACTCTGTCTGCCCGCTACCCGCGCTCACACACACCAGCACACTCGCTACGCTCCACTACTCTCTCTCTCTCTCTGTCATCGCGCTCAGGATCAAGGCTCCGTTCCAGGCGAACCGACCCTCTTGACCGCCAAGCCTCCTCTTTGAAGCACCGTCGATCCCTCTTCGCAGCGTGAGTAGCGGTACGCGGTTGTTTCGTAACTCGAATGGATGGATCGGCGTGGGCAGAAGTACGATGAGAGCGCAGGGAAGATGTCCGGGGCCCCGACGACGACGACGACGATGACGACGACGACGCGGCACCATGGCAAGGCACGGCACGGCACGGTCGGGCTTGGCCATGGCCGATAGCGATAGCGATAGCGACGGCGATAAGCAACGCACGCAGCGAGGCTGTGTCGTGGGCATCCGTGCCCGTCGTCGGATATCCCGCGACTCAGCCGCGCGCACACCGGGCGGTAGTGGTACCGGTACCGCACCCTAGCGCACCGCATCGCCCGGTCTCGCCCTGCCTGGCCGTAACCGGGCCCCAGTCAGGACGAGATGAGCCGCCGCTGCCCGCCCGTTCGCCCGCTGGCCTTCCCGACAGCCGGTCCTCGGTCCGAGACGTCGGCGGCATGATGGCCAGGCCTGGCAGCGCGAGCACGCACGCACGCACGCACGCACGCAGGCCCGGCCGGTCTCCTGTCCGGAACATTTTGGCAGACAGGGGTCAACCAGCAGCAGCCAGGGAGCGGAGCTCCAACGCGCACAAGGCTCGCGGCCCCC